TCAGAAGCTCTGGAGGCTCGCCTCCCTCAGAGGCTCATGTCGGAGACGAGGCTGAGCCCTCGTATCTTGCTCACCAGCGTGTCGCACTCGGAGCGGGCCTAGGAAATGTCTAGGAAGTGTCTAGGAAGTATCTAGGAGGTGTGTAGGAAGTGTCTAGGAAGTGTCTAGGAAGTGTCGCACTCGGAGCGGGCCGGGCAGATCTCGGCAGATCTCGGCATATCCCTTGGCACCGGACTCGGCGGCGACGCTTGCCCGCTTGCCGAAGGCTCGGCTGCCACGAATCGCCCCGCCGCCCTCACTGCCCTTGCTCTCGCGTCGCCGGCCGCGCCCTCGCTGCCGCCGCTGCCGCTGCCGCCGCCGCCGCCGCCGCCGCCGCCGCCGCCGCCGCCGCCGCCGCCGCCGCCGCCGCCGCCGCCGCCGCCGCCGCCGCTATCACCGCCGCCGCCGGCGCCGCCGCCGCTGACACCGCCGCCGCCAGCGCTAGCACTGCCGTTGCCGCCGCCGCCGCCGCCGGCAGCACTGGCGCTGCCTCCGCCGCCGCCGCCCCTCTGCTGCGGCGGCGGCTCTCGAAGCTTGCGCTGCGCCTTTGAGAGTGCGCCATTCACAGCCAGCCATTCACAGCCAGCCATGAATGGTGAAACCGGTGAGGCGGCTCTTTGGGCACACGCCGCGCCGTATGCGTGAACACTCCTCCTCAGGAACAAGTAGAGCCAGTCAGGCGCGCGTGTGCTACCGGGAGATACCCGGGAGATACGGGGAGATACGGGGAGATACGGGGAGATACGGGGAGATACGGGGAGATATGGGAGATGCGCGCCTCGCAAAGCCACGAGGAGTACTCAGTCAAGTGGAGCTACCGGGAGACACCCCGGAGATACGGGGAGATATGGGAGATGCGCGCCTCGCGAAGCCACGAGGAGTACTCGGTCGAGGTGGAGCTCAGCTCGCTGCCCGCATGATCGCTGCCCGCGTCCGCGAGCAGCGACGGCGGCACACCCTCCTCCGCCAGCCTCGCAGCCTCCTCCAGCAGCGACAAGCGGTGCGGCCTAGTAACACAGCGACGACGAATTAATTATCACTTAATTAACGATACGAGTTACGAGCAGCGGCAGGCGGCGCGGCCTAGTAACACAGTGACGACGAACTAGCTAGTCAATTCATGATGCGAGTTTAGAGCAGCGGCAAGCGGCGCGGCCGGAAGGAGACGCCCGCAGCCTCGAGGTCCTCAGGTGTGCCTAACTCACACAGCCTTCTCTGTGTGCCTCTCTGTCTCTCTGTGTGCCTCTCTCTCTCTGCCTGTCTCTGGCTCTCTGTCTCTCTGTCTCTCTCTGTCTCTCTCTGTCTCTCTGTCTCTGTCCCTCTGTCTCTCTCTGTCTCCCTCTGTCTCTCTGTCTCTCTGTCTCTCTGCCTGTCTCTCTCTGTCTCTCCGTCTCTCTGTCTCTCTCTGTCTCTCTGTCTCTCTCTGTCTCTCTCTGTCTCTCTCTCTGTCTCTCTCTGTCTCTCTCTGTCTCTCTGTCTCTCTGTCTCTCTGTCTCTCCGTCTCTCTGTCTCTCTCTGTCTCTCTCTGTCTCTCTGTCTCTCTGTCTCTCTCTCTGTCTCTCTCTCTCTCTCTGTCTCTCTCTCTGTCTCTCTCTCTCTCTCTCTCTCTCTCTGTCTCTCTCTGTCTCTCTCTGTCTCTCTCTGTCTCTCTGTCTGTCCTCCAGGAGAAGTCGCGCGACCGCGCAGCGGCATATCTAAGCACATCTAAGCACATCTCAGCAGATCTCAGCAGATCTCGGCAGATCTCGGCATATCGGCGTATCTCGGCGTATCTCGGCTAATCCATGCAGAGGAGAAGGTCGCGGCCGCGCAGCGGCACCCGAAGGCAAGCCTCGGCGTACTTCCCCAGCCTACGCGCTGAAGACGCATACCTCAGGGCGGGAGGACGGTACTGTGCAGCGTATTCAGAGCACCGCGTGAAGACAACGGAGAGGAGTACAGTGAGTACAGACGAATGCACCGGAGGACAGCGGAGTACGTTTCTTTCGAGTGTTGGCTGGGAGACATCAATCCGCGTGTTCGCTTCTAGGTTCCCCAGCCCGATGCCGCGCAGCAGCGCGGCGACCTGATGCTCGCTCAGCGACGCGAGAGGCAGCGGCTGTTGCGCGCCTGGCAAAGCATTCGCCCAGTGATCCCTCCTCCTCCCGCCTTCAGAATGAAGGCATGGGAGGCAGTCGCTGCTGCGCGCCTCCGCCGCCTCCGACGAGGCCTCCGCTCACGCCGGTCACCCCGGAGCGCAGGTCGAGCGCGCGGCCGCCGCCGCGGACGTCGCCGAGAGCGACATGCGACGATCCTCCTCCACCACCACCACCACCACCAGACGCTGGCTGCCTCTGATGCCACCCCCACCGCTCTCCAGCGACCGAGACCGAGTCGTCGGGCGAGATGTCGTCCTCCGGCTCGGCGCGCAGGTGGCTCAGATCGACGACGCGATCGGGCGGCACGCCGTCGTGGTAGATCAGGCCCGGCTCGGTTGGCGTGGTCGACACGACCGTGCTCGTGCCGCAGCAGTTGGAGCCGGCTTGAGAGGTCGGAGAGACGACCGTCGAGTTCTCGTCGACGCGGCCGAGGCGAGCCGCGGCGCGGCGGTGCGGCGGCACGTACGCCATGAGGTTGAAGGATGGAGCGAGCGTCGAGCGGCCGTCGATAGATCGACTTGAAGGCAGAAAAAGAATTCACTCGAAAAATTTCGACTTCAAGGCAGAAAAAGAAACCAAAGATCTTCACGACCAAACTCCCTCGGGACTGGCGCGCACTGCCACTAACTCAGGTTCACCACGGGAGCCGCCTAAACGACTCCTGCGAGGACGGCGAAAAAGAATTCTCAGCGACAGCCGCTCTTGCAGAACTTTATACCGGGTACCCTCCGATTTGAGTGCGGAGCGTACCCATTAATTATTAACATTCGCTTCAAATGTCACACACGCCTACTAAGGTCCGGTTCACGCCGCCCCAAGGAAACATTCACCGGGCCTCGCGCAGCGCATATGAACGAGGGTCTATTGGCTACTGCTGCGGCCGCACGTCGATGACGGTGAAGGTGGCGTCGTCGACGCGCAGCTTCTGCACGTCGCCGGTGGGCTCCAGGTATGTGAGCGGCGGGAACAGAAACTCCTGCTCCGCGGGGAAGGCGGAGAGGAACGAGATGTCCGGGCCTCGCACCATAAAGTTCTTGGAGAGGACACGCAGCAGAAGCGAGTCTTCGGACGCCGAGTACAGCATCGCAACCTTGAGGGACGAGGTCGTTGACATCGGCGCGAGCTCGGTGCCGCCCTTGCCTCGCTGCAGAAAGTTGTCTTGCACCTTCATGCCCTTCATGCCGCGGTAAAGAGTGACCTCCTTGTTAGCCTCCGTCGACTTGCCAGCCACCGTTCGCAGCCTCTTGAGCCCTTCCGCAATGAAGGCCACAGTCACGGGGAACTGATGCGGTCGCTCGGCCTTGTAGCGGGCCTGGTCACGCAGGCCGTTGTTGATGGTGCTGAAGGCTGCGGTGGTGTAGAAGCGCAGCGCTGCAATGTGCGCCTCGTTCAACTTGGCCACCTGCGCCTTTGGGTCGGCGACGAAATCGGCGAGCCGCTTGCCGCGGCGGTTCGGCAGCACGTTGCCATGCGCATCGCAGTCGCGCAAAAGTCCGCCCTGAAACGCCTTGCCGCTATCTCCCGCCACCTTGTCGAGCACGTACTCAAGGCACTCCTTGTCGACGTCGGTGCCGTTGGCGGCAACCTCTGCGCGGATGGCCTGAAGACCACCGTTCATCTTCGCTCGCAAGTCGCCGTCATCGACGCACATGTAGTGCTCCACGCCGAGCGCCGCTTGCTCGGGCCTGCCGAAGACGAGGTCCTTGGCCTCGAAGCGTGCGTCGCCATTCATGTCGCGCAATGTGGAGAACACTCCGCCGAGCTCGTCAGCCACCTTGAACATCTCCCGGTGGAGGTCGCTCTCGGCGCTTGCACGCGCCGCCCTCGCCCTCTCCCTCTTGACCTTGGCCGCCGTGTCCCGTGCTTGCGCCAGCTCTGTGGCCAGGCCCTCAACTTTGGCGAGCAGTGCCTCTCCCTTCTCAAGCGGCACGATCAGATCCTGCAGAGGGGCGGCGCTGTTTGTCGACTCGATTTGCTTCCGCTCCGTCTGCAGCCGTTCGGCCGCGGTGTAGTCGCCCTTCTTGGCTGCCGCCTCCTCCTGCTGGCAAAGCGACTGAAGCTGCCGCTCCTTTGTAGCTGTAGCCGAATCGAGCTCACGCCGCAGGTGCTCTAGCTGCTTCCGTACCGACGCAATGTCACCGCTTGCAGTCGCGTAGCCGCTGTCCACAGCCCGCTTCAGGTCGGCACGTGCGCAGGCGAGACTGCGCTCGAGCTCGGTAATGCGCTCCGGCGCGGCCGCCTGCTCGCTGAGGTACTCGGCGGTCTTCTTACTGACGTACTCGTCGCGGTGGCGTTTGAGCTGCTCGGCAGAGGGCTCCTGCTGCTTGAGCCAGGCCGGGTACGTGTCCTCCCAGCAGCAGCAACAGACGCAAGGCCCGTAGGGGCTCCACGGCTGGAACCAGCAGAGGAGAATGTCCTTATCAAAGTTGCACGGAATGGCAAGGCATGGCGTGCAGCATGTCCCTATGCTCATAAGTGACAGCACGCCGCACCGGATGGATGCGCATGCTGGGAGGCAATCATCCATAAGTGACAGCATTTTGTCGCGCTTCACATAGTCCCCCCATGAGTCGCAACCGCACTCCCGCTGCTGCGGCTTTGAGGCGTCGGCCTCCCGCTCCCAGGACGCGACGATCTCGCGCGGAATTTCCAGGTTCGTCGGAGCCACAGGAGGAGCACTCATTGCCGCCTCGAGGTCCGCATCCTTGGCAGGCGGCTCGGGCATGCCGGTCGTCGACTGGCCCGTGTCGGCGCGCTTGGGAATCTCGAGGTGCTGCTGGCTGCGGCGCTCCGACTTGACGTGCGAGCGACTGGGGCGCGTGAGGGCGCTCATAAAGCCATGCCGGGAAGTTATCATTGCCGCCTCTCGTGCTCAATGTCGGACACGGCAAGGAAGGGCGTTACGGCGCCGGGTTTCATTCCTTCAGGGGGGTGGAAGGGTTCTAGGTTTGTTGTTGGCAAATCAAGACACAGAGCTCACACAGAATCACAGCGGGAGGAAAGCGGCGAGTCGCAATTCCTGGGGTCCTTGTGGCGGGCCACCCTGTCCAGAAAAGCATGGATGCCGATCTGGAATCTTTCGTCCGAGTCTATGAGTCCTGGCCGCTCCCGGTGATGGTTAAGGTTGTAGAACCACGCGACGGAGATGGTGCGGGGGTACGGGTGTTCCAGGAGGTCACGACACGCACCGACCCTTCACAACCCGAAAGGCAGTGGCGTCGACGTGAGCGGCGGCGGCGGCGGTGCGTGGAGGTGGAAGGGGGCGGTGCGGAAGCGCCCAAGGGCGATGAGTATGACGGCCTCTTCGACGGCCCATAAGGGGCCGTTGTCTGCTGTGCCTTTTGTGGTGCTAGTTCGTGCCAGTCTGCTGTGAGAGGGGCTAGTTTGTAGAATTCTTTAGCCGTCTCCCCAAACTAGCATGCGGCCGACCCTCGACCGACCCTCGATCCTGTGGCTGATGGCCGACGACCTTGGTGCGGGAGAGCCCTCCTTCACCTCTCCAGGCCTGCTTCGCACGCCAAATCTCGACGCTCTCGCTGGAGCTGGCATGCGCTTCACTGCGGCGTACGCTGGCTACACTGTTTGCGCTCCCTCGCGTGCGACCTTCTTCACAGGACGGCACTCGGGCAGGCTGGCGGGAGCGCCGGCCGACTGGCCTCTCCTGCCGCAGCTGCTGCAGGCGGCGGGCTACGAGACGGTCGCCTTTGGAAAGTCGGCACCAATGGACATTGTGACGCCTCCGCGCCTGCCGTCGGTCGTCGAGTGGGGTGGCACGCCGCTCGATTTCGGGTTCGACCGCTTCGCCGGGCAGCCGTCGCAGCTGTACTGTCACAACATGTATCCTGCCGACTGGACCGTCGGCGGCCGGGTGGAGCCGCTTCCGCTCAACCACAAGCCGAGGTCGCGCCGGTTGTGCATGGCCCGGCCCGACGCATACAACTACACGACCGACCTGTTCGCCGACGCCGCGATCGGGTGGCTTCGCGCCCGCACGCCCGGCCCGCCTTTCTTCGCCTACGTCTCGTTCACGGTGCCGCACGCGGGTGGCTGGGACCAGGCGCCGCATGCGGCCGAGGAGGGCCAGCCGGTGCCACCCGGGTTGGGGTACGACCCGCACCCCGGCGACTGAGTAATAAACTAATAATTAATTAACAATTAGGTGCCTCGCGGGTTGGGGTACGACCCGCACCCCGGCGACTGAGTAATAAACTAATAATTAATTAACAATTAGGTGCCTCGCGGGTTGGGGTACGACCCGCACGGCGACTGAGTAAGAAACGAATAGTTAATTAATAATTAGGTGCCTCGCGGGTTGGGGTACGACCCGCACGGCGACTGCGTAATAAACGAATAATGAATTAATAATGAGGTGCCTCGCGGGTTGGGGTACGACCCGCACGGCGACTGGCCCGCCGTCGAACGAGACCCTAGAAGCGGAATACGTGTCATTCCGCTGCATTCTGCTGCATTCCACGGCATTCACGTCTCTCTCCGTTGTGTATTCACGCGGTGCTCGAGTACTCTGCGGACGGAACGCCGTCTTCCCGCGTTGTGAGGCTGCTGCATCCACATCGTAGGAACGAGATCATGCGGCAAGCGTGACGTACCTCGACGGTCGGGTCAGCAGCCATCCCCTACCCACACGATACCCGAACCCACCCCCTACCCACGGTGCCCATCCCCCCACCCCCACGGTACCTGAACCCAGGTTGGCGACCTGCTGCAAACGCTCGCGGAGCGGGGGCTGGAGCGCTCCACCGCAGTCTTTTTTGCGAGCGACAACGGCGCGCACGAGGAGGGCGGCCACCGCGTCGGCTTCTTCAACTCGACGGGCGGCCTGCGCGGCCACAAGCGCGCCTTCTACGAGGGCGGAGTCCGCTCCCCCTCCGTTGTCCGTTGGCCCGGCGTGACCCCGCCCGGGGCCGTCTCGGACGTGCCGTGGGCGTTTTGGGACGTGCTCCCCACCCTGCTGGAGATCCTAGAAGCGGAATGCGTATTCATGTCTCCCAACCAGCACTCGAGAGAACGTGTTCCGCTGCATTCCGCTGCATTCCGCTGTACTCACTGTCCTCCTCTCCGTTGTACTCACGCGGTGCTCGGAATGCTCTGCGCAATACACCGTCTCCCCGCCCTGAGGCTGGCGTATTCCACCGCCTAGGCTGGAGATGGCGGGCGCACCGCTGCCGCGGAACGGCACGTTTGACGGCCGCTCGATCGTGCCGGCGCTGCGGGGCGAGCCCATGCGGCCGCCCCCGTACCTCTTTTGGACTTGGAGAGGCGAGGCTGCGGACGAGGCGTCGCCGGCAAAGCTGGCTGGGACCCGTCTCGGACCCTTCTCGGATCCTGCTCGGACCCTTCTCGGACCCTTCTCGGCCGTGGAGTCTGGAGCGGCTGCCAGGAGAGGCCTCGTCGGCGAGTCCCGCCGGAGGGGGCCTGGCTATGCGGCGCCGCCCTTGGTGCGCGCCGCGCCGCGCCACTAGGGTGGCGACGCGTCACAGGCTTGCTGCGGGTCTGCTAGGCGCGCGTGGGAGAGTGGAAGGCGGTCGTGCATGAGTGCTCCGATCAGGCGCCTCCTAGACACTTCCTAGACACTTCCTAGACACTTCCTAGACACCTCCTAGACACCTTCTAGACACTTCCTAGACACCTCCTAGAGGCGGTCGTGCACGAGTGCTCCGATCAGGCGCGCAGCGCCGAGCCACTTCGCCACGGAGAGCGCCTTTGGGCCCCTCGCTCATCCGCCGCGGGAGGTCACTTTGTTAGGCGGTGCTGCGGCCGTCCCTCGACGACGTGATGGAGCTGTACAACCTGACCGCCGACCCGGGGGAGGAGACGAATCTCGCGGCGGTGGAGCGATCGGTCGTGGTCGACATCAAGCGCCTGCTGATTCGCGAGGGTGTATCGTGCGAGTGTTTCCAATGTTGAGAAACTCGGGCTTTAACTACGGCTTTGTCCTTTGAGAGGCTACGGCTTTTGAGAGTAAAAAAACAGCATACGTGTAATTTAGGGGGTCGGCCTATCAAAGAAGAATGTATGTATGTAGAAAGATGAACAACAGTCAGGCTCGGACTGGACACCAACGCGGTATGGGTGGACGCGAGACAGATGATGACGACACGCACGAGCGACACAAAGACACAAACAGGCTCACAAGACACACAACCAAAAGAAGAAACTTGAGAAAAAGAAATACGCGTCGCGCCAACTCGGACGTTCATTAGCGAGCGTCGCAGCCATGTTGGGCACGGCTGTGCTCTCATACGTGGATCCACGGGGCCAACTCGCGGTCGCCACGCTGCCTCTGCTGCTCACTCTGCTGGCCATACTGCTCTGCGCCCGCAAGACTCCAGCAACGCACCGGCCGCGCTCTGCCACTGAGCCACTGCAGGAGCTACTCAGCCGGCTGCGGGTCGCCACCCAGGTCGATCGCGCTATCAGGCTGCGTCTATTCACCATCTTTTTCAGCCTGAACTGGCTCTGCAGTCTCCTCAGCCAGACAGTGCTGGTGCGACGCCGTGTGCCCGTCTCAACCTATCCCTGGCGCATGTGGATGCACAAGGTTTCATTCGAACAATTCCACTCGTTCAAACAATACCACAATGGGTTATCATTTGGTACCGAAGACCCAAGCCAGCCGAGTCACACGCCAGTGGAAGATCTGCCGATGGGCGAAGCGGAGACGAAGAGAGAGGAGTGGTCACTCTTTGCCGGCATGTACTGTCGCGATTATGCAGAGGGTGGCTGGTTGCCTCGTGAGCTAGCAAAGGCCAGGTTGGACTGTGCCGCCGACGCAAGCTGCCACGCGGTGGTGTGTCCGGCCAGTGCACAAGATGGGTGCACCCTCCGGAGCAGTGCTCGCCGCGTCGAGTCTCCACAGGACGACTGCTATGTCTAGGGACTGGCGCGCCCTCGCACTGAGAGCAGGCGGACATCGCTTCCAGGGAGGGGGGCGCACTTCTGCTCACACCACATGCTAGGGGGGGGGTCCGACCCCCCCCAGAGGCTTCACCACATGCTGGGGGGGGGGGTCCCGCCCCCCCAGCACCTTCACCACATGCTAGGGGGGGGGTCGTGGCCGAGGACCCCCCAGAGTCTCGTGGTCAGACCCTCCGGGCCCTTGATTTTACGCCTCATTTCGCAGCATTTTCGAGGGGAAAATCATCTTTTGGAGCTACATGAGCCTTGAGACTGGTCAGATTCTCCAAGATATTGGTCTTCAGCCACGATTCACAATTTGGGGCAAAATCGA